ATTTACCTTATTATGTTATGATTTGGCGATTAAAATTGATCTGAATTGATTCCCTTCTTTTTTTGTTCATTCATTTTTTGCCATGGATTTTTGTGAAACACTTTGTAACCTTGTAACAGAAGTGCTATAAAGTTTTTATTATTATAACCGATTTTTAATACATATTGAGACATGAATATGGATGCAAAAAACAGAAAGTAAACTTAAAACAGTGTTGAGATTGTAGGAAATTTGGTTGATGAGCAGTAATTTGATTTGTTGCTGCCTGGACACTTGAGCTGAACTAGAGGAGGAGACTGACCTCTGGTGGTCACCTAACATACCTGCACAATAAAAGATTTAACATCTGATGTCTCATGGATGATATTGAAAAGTATTTTCACTTATTGTGATCCGTCACCTTTATTACCATAAACAATTCTATAAATTTACTTCAATATTTTTTACACCAGTTAACCTCCATGCCTGGTGGATCTGACTGTGGCAGGATTATGGGATTCCATCGGAGTAATTTAATGGTGTTTGTCTATTTAGAAATAAATATCTTGTGATTTTCTGCAGCTAAACTCAGTAAAGACTAGCGTAATAGAAAAGACCCTGACTATCTAGCGGATAAACTACAACAGTTTATTGAACCACAGGCAAGCAATGTTAAATTCACATTCGTAAACCTCAGTGTCGCATTTGATTCATTCACAAATAAATACAGCCCATATTAAATCCTGGCCTAGAAAACATTTGTCTTTGCTGCATTCATGCACTGTACTCTCTACAAGTAGCTTTTTACTTGCCAAGGTGTGATGTGTAACAAAGCCAGGAAACCTGTGCAGCTGCAGCCTCCACTTTTATTTCCTCCGCCATGTTTTGTTTCCATTTGTCAGCAGGATTATGCAAAAACTGCTCAACACATTTCCACAAAACTTGGTGGAAAGGACATGGAAAAAGAAAGAGGATATTTAATTTTTAGAGGGTCCGTATCTCTGAGTGGGCAATTTGGAGCGGCTTGATTGAATTTAAAGGAGCTTTTAGGCCTTGGTGGAGGTGTGCACTGTACTGTGTGCCATTCTAGTTATTATCGTAGGGGTGATTTTCTGGTTGATCAAAATTCAATGGCGTGTCCAAGTCCACCTCTTGCAGGATGATACCATCACTAAAGAGTGAATGATGAACCATCTTCAGGGGCTCGACAAACGCTCAAATAGCAACCATGAACCACTCGACTCCCTGACACTCATATCTAAAATTAGTAATGCATCAGAAAATACCAGAGCAGCTGTGAGGCAGACTGTTGTTATACAAGGTACTGTGTGTGTGTGTGTGTGTGTGTGTGTGTGTGTGTGTGTGTGTGTGTGTGTTCAACAAAACACGGCATAAAGAAGCATCACTTCGCGACAGCCTACCACATGTGACATTACACAAAGGTTGTGTGGTCAAGACAAAGCTCTGCTAAATGCTAAAAATTACAATAGCTGGTCTTCACTGATGCTAGCGGACTATATTAGGATGGCTTAAAATAGCTTGACACAAATTTATCACTGCAGTGACTGCAAGAAGTAATTTTGGATATTAAACTGCTGCAGTGAAATGATGAGTATTCGTATATTCAGTGCTGAAATTGAAATTGATGCTGCTGACCAGAATCTGGGCGAATCTTTGAAGAAAAGAATCAACCGTTTAGAAAAAGTGTATACCAAACAATGAAAAGTCCTTTATTGCCATCAGAACATGAGTGAGAAAACCAGAGACAAAATCTGACAGAGTGAGGAGTCGACTGTACAACCAGCATCCACAGACGCACACAAAACACGCACACACACGCACGCACAGCAGCCTTTCAACGGGACGTGAGGGATACAGATACATAAGGGAATACAGTACTCACACAATGAGGTATAAAGGCAAACGCAAACATACAAGTAAGGGTTTTTTCTCCACGCGTACCCATGCGACCGAAACCAAGGTACAAATACTCAAGTGCTCGTTCATTCTCTAAAAACACAACGTACAGGTGAGCAGAAATGTGTAACAGCAGCATCTGGGTCATCTCCATTCAGCCACACTCCCATTCATGTGTCTCTCAAAACCTTTGGTCATGTGGACGCTCGCTTGTCATGCACAATGTTTGCCCTTTTTAGTTTAATACTTGATGAGATTCAAAAGGAATGGGTCCCTTCCTGACTTGTGTGTCCACCGATAGAAACTAGGATGATCTGGGCAGATGAGCGTGGGGCAGGTGGGGGATTCTTTTTTGTCTTTTCTTTTTTTTTTTAACTTTCTCTCTTCAAGGTAGAGTTTCTACTTCAGTTGGACATTCAATGTGTACATTAGCAGCAATTCTAGTGAATGAAACAATGGCTTTGTAAGTCAGATTAATAACACCCTTTCCTCATGCACAGGACAGGCACCACCTACTACTTTAACTAAATGCCATGCAAGTTAGAAAAATAGACTGCAAACTCACAAGACAGAGAAATCAAAGTTCGTCTCCAGAGAAGAAGTTGATTTCACTTCAATTTTTTATTTCATATTAGGGTTTTTTTCTAAAGATGTGGAAAGAGCAACAAAAAGAACTTGAGAGCGGTAACCAAGACAACAGTAACAACACGAGTAGAGAGCCACTGAGGTTTCGAGTCCCTCTCTTACTCCCATTTGTCCACCCAAACTGCCAGGTACAAGACAGACACCTCGCTCGTTTATTTCCTTTTTCAGTCCTCGACTTTGTGCCATGCGGGCGACCACGCCGACGCACCTGGTGTGTGCGCCTCTTGTGTATGTGTTTGTGTACCTGTTATTGTGGGCCTGTGTGTCATGTGGCTCTCGCGTCATTTGAAGCTGTCCCCCATCCCACAGTTTCCAGTGGTCTACCCTACCGCCGCTAGCAACACCCCCCCCATCCTAGAAAAGGTGGTCGCCCTCGTGTGCTTCCGGAGCCGCGCTGGCTGCAGTGGTTCGTCAAGACACTAGTGTGGCTGGAAGCACCGCCGCCCCCTCCTCCGACAGAGAAAAGTGGCACGGTATTGTTCTCTTTGAGTCTAAATCTAGAGTTTAATTCTGCCGTCCGTCTGGTCTCAGCCCGTCCCGTTAACTCGGCTACACCGGTGCCACCCTGGACCCTTGAAAAGACTTAAACAGGTGAGAGGAGGAAGTGACATCACCTAACTCCCCCTTGCTCTCTTTCAGGCCCGCTGATACATAGACACGCCTCCCCAATGCGACTTGACCAGGGCTACATTTCCGTTCGTTGCCTCATCCCCTTCCCAGTTTAGGTTTGTTGTTGCCAAATCTCACCTTTGCACACACAAACGCACACAGATGCACGCACGCATCGACCCCCCAACGCTGTCCATTCTACTCGGAATGATGACAACGCCTCGAATTTCGTGTTTGGCACCAGACTTCTCTCTCCCCCTCGTGATGGCCGGCCACTCCCTCTCTCTCATCCTCTTTTTTTTTTTTTTTTTCCCTCCCTCACAGGTTTGTTCTCTCATTGGTACCAAAAAGAAAAAAAAACCTGGAAGAACACCTATTTTTTCTCTCCTTCCGCTTGAAACAAAAACAAACTAAAATGGAAAAACTCAAGTTTTTTTTTTATTTTATTTTTTTTTTTCAAATTCAAGGCACAATGTCTATCAATATTCCAATCCGTCTGTCTCAACTCCCAGGTTCAGTGTGCGAACATCGCGTCACATAAGCTATTGGACTGTCTTCTCGTACGCCCCTCACTACAGCTTACATCTCTCTTGTCTGTACTTTAACACTGTTAAGAGACGTGTCTGTTTTGGTTGAGAAAGCGACCGCCTAGTCCAAACCAGTGATAAACAATGAACAAAATTAACAAGAACAAAAAAAAAAGAAAAGACACAAATAAAGACAACTGTCCAAAAACAAAAAAACAAAAAAAAAAGGAAAAAAGTCGCGTCCTGTTTCTCGTGTTTCGGTATTTTTAAAAATCAAGTCATATCCACCAGCTCTTTTTTGGCAAGCTAGTTGTTGTTTTTTTTAAATAAGCACTACGTACTGATAGATAGGATAGCATACACCGTTAACGTGTGTTTTTAAGTAGATGCGTTTGTCGTTTTTTTGTACTTTTTCACTCTCATGTATGAATTCAGGTATTTTGTCAGGTACTTTTCACTCATCTGTTTAAAGGTTTAAGTTAATGCAAGCAGGGACAGAGATTGCCATGGAGTCTTGCTCTAGACTTGGGTTCGCCCAGGGGTGGGGCCCGTCTCTTTACGAGACCCCGTTGACCAGGGTCAGTGTCTCGCTGGCCGAGGTCATGCCATTGCTGGGGGAACGCTTGGAGGGTGGTGTCTCATCCTTCTTGGCACTGGTGCCGTTCTCCTGTGGGTATGAACAGAGAGAAGACCGTCTTATAATCGGAGGTATGTCGATACAATGATGGCTACATCCATACCTGAACATTTTTGTTGGAAAACAGCGTTTTAATGGTTTCAAGTGAGGACAGCTGGGGTATCCATAGCAATGACGATGCTTTTTTCAAATGAAAATGGAGAAGGGTGGATGTGGCCTAAGGCTGAGGTCCAAGCGTGTTTCTGTCTGTACCTTGGGCTCTGGGCCAGTGTGGTTTTCCTTCTGGGGCAGGTTCTGTCTGCTCTGGGACTCAGGACGAGATATGTAGTCGGCAACAGTCACTGGAAACATTGAAATATGTCAGAGTGATTTCTGGGGGGTACATTGTGCGTGCACTGTAGATAGAGATTCAAAATGTCCAGGCTTTAAGGTAGAGTACCTGCACCAGTGTCGCAATTAATACCACTAGCTGCTTACTAGGTATTAGTTTATATTGATATAGAACATACTGCCACTTCTGAAGAGGGAAACGTAAAAAACTGAAAGACTCACCACTCTCACCAGGCTGTCTGTCACGGCTGGCTGAACCTCCCTCTGTACGGCTGCCACGGTTACGGCGGCGGCGGCTTCTGTTGCGGCGCTGTGGTCGCGCCTCTTCATCTAAAAACCAAATAAGGAGAATATGGGTTACTTTCTCTGATAATGTCAGAGAAAAATTGTTTCTTTTCTTTTCTTGGATAGATAAAACCTTGAAGAGGCAGACAGGACACATCAAACTGTGGATATTGGGAGTGTTACCTGGCATTTGTTTTAACCTGAGGGGGGGGAAAAAACAGAAGTTCTCACCCAGTCCGTTCTCACTGGGGCCGGCCTGGCTGTCCGACTCTGCAGCAGCGTCCATTACGCTGGGCTCCTGGTCGTTGCGGCGGCGTCGGGAGCGTCTGCGGCGGTCTCCTTCAATGAGATCTGCCTCAGCAAGCTCTCCTTCTCCTTCCAGCAGGGAGTATGGGTTACTGTCTGGGTCCCTCAACACTGAAGACCAAGATAAGTTTGTCTTGTTAAATACTCACGTTGCCAACATCATTCTGCAGGTGATTGTAAAGACAACTCTACAGTTTGGTGGCTTAACTTATTAAAACTTGATGAAACATATATGTGTATATATCTTCAAGAACATATTATTGTTAAAATTACTAACAAATTGGAAAACGAGTAAGAATCAACAAAATAGTTGAAAAGGCAGTTTCAAGTAACTTAAAAGATTCTGAACCCGCTCTACCACTACACTGCTGCAAGGGCCACTAGGGAGAAGTTCTCAAAACTCACTAAAAACCATTTATCTTGAGAGTGTCAGTTTGTAACCTGAGGTTGGGCTCTGATTACCTGAGCTGATGGAGTTGGAGGGCTTGGACCCTGGCCCTCCGCGGCCTCGTCCTGAATTGGAGCCTCTGCCCCTGCCGCCCCGCCGGGAGCCTCTCTCATCTCCGCCAATGCCGCGGGGTCGCTGGTCTCGCTCATTGACATCCTCAGACTCAGAGGCGTTGGACTGTTCAGAGTTGGTGCCTGCATCAGTAGAGGCAGTTCATGTAAAAGGCGATAAACACACGTACAGTGGCAATACCAATAACACAAACTGATTCTAAATCAAAGTAACGTGTCAGCTCCTTCACTCTCACCATATCCAGAGTACTGACTGTTGGAGGCCCTGCGTCCTCTGCCGCGGCCCCCGTAGGTGCGAGACGTGTGGAGTGAGTTGCTGCTCTCATCAGTCAAGTAGCCTTTCTCCCGTTCTCCGCCTGGGCCCCCGCTTCGACTGGGAGGAGCACGGTACCCCACCCCAATTTGACGGAGCTGCTCGTCAATCTGGAGACGCTCCATGCGCAGCTGCTCTACCTCCTACAAGACAAGGACAGGGAAATAGAATGAGCAGTTTGTATTKCATAGCTTGTTATTCTGCGCATGGTTATTTTTGAGGCTATTAACATGTAAAATAGACTTTATCCTCACCCACCAAATCCCTGAGCTTCTTATCTAGCATGAAACAGTGACCTGGACAACTTCCAGTTTGACTAAATATGATGAGCCAGGAG